TACGTTTATATAATAATAATATATACATATATGTTGCAGCAACGGCCGGCCGGACGGCTTTTGAAATTGTGTTCCAAGTGTAAACGAGACGGATCTCGGTCATCCGATTGTTACAGAAAACCCGTTATAACAGTGTCGTTACTCCAAGTGACTCGACTTAATATTCTATATATCTTATTGTTGTCATCACACATGGTTAAGTTTGTCAATTATATTGAATAGAGTGATTCGATATTGTTATACGTAAGGTGACGTGACCGACGCGATGTACAATAAATGATTGATAAATGCGCACGCGCATTGCATAATATTATCATTATTATTCTTAAAAGTGGCCTCGGCATAGTGGAATTGATAAATTAATATGTTAGGAAGTCCTACTAGCCATTCATAGTTTATATAGAAAATAATAAGTTTAGCAGCTTTGAAAATGACTATTGTTTTTTAAAATTAATATAACAGATATTTGAAGTTTTATCACAAACTTAGTGTTCCGGTTGAAAAATAAGAATCTTCTTAAAAGTTATTAAATTACATCATTATTATAGCTTATTATATTATAATATTTTTTACTTCAAATTGGATGAGGATATACAGACGATAAAATAATTCAGTTTATTTTCGGTATCTAATTGTCAATAATGTTGATACTATTTGTCCTTATAGCTAAATAGAGATTATAGGACTAGTTGAAAAAAAACATATTGAAATATTGTAACATCTTTTTTTAATCTTTTTTTATAAAATATTTAATTATTTGTTAGTTATCATTCTTATTTCATAGGTAAACCTCGAAGTAAATAATATTTGTAAAAAACTAAAATGGCTAATTTTTAAAATTAAATTGTATTATTAATAAATAATAAACTCTTAGAAACTCATTTATTTTTTAAAAATTATTCCTCAAATTATTCTTAAGCACTCTTCTATCTAATCTTTTTCGTATGTTTCCATTGTAGTACTACACGGTGCATCATTTCCAAAGATGTTTTAGATAATTGTTTTCGAATTTTTTATATTAGTTAGTAGCTTATCTTGAAAGTTTTTGGTACTTACTCCTCCAATTTATGTTTCACGTTTATCATATAAACATAAATAGGTATTTTAACAAAAATACGAGTTTTGGTCGAGTTGACACATCCCTCCCTTCCTAATTATAGAAGTGATTCACCTTATTTCATTGGCTATTAAATTATCTGCAAAATACAATATCTAACCAATAAGATGAGAATTAGATTTATAAACGGGATGTGGATAGGTCGATTTGTAAATACGGTGCTTATCAGAAAAGTTACTGAAATATATGCTATACGAGTATCTATATGTTTACTAAATGGCGCCTTGTTTTTAAAATAATAATATTTATTGAACATTATCTTATCTTAAACCATTATCGAAAAAACCTATTTTTAAAATCGGCCAATTCACTACTATAGTAGAAACATTTTAATGTACAGACATTAAATTATAGATTAGCGTCGTATGCATTTTCATTATCCAACATTAATATGCAGTATGCTATAGGTTACCTAATATAAATATTAAATATTTATGTAAGTAGCAAATAAACATGATTATAGATTTTTTACCTTTACAAGTCACTTGGTGTGTGATCCTTTGGAAACAGTGGCGAGTCTTAAAAGATCAAACATAATATGGAGATTCCATTCATCACCCATTTTATCAAATTTCGTTACTAATACGAAATGATTACTAAAAAATCTAGGCTATTGCGGACGGACGACGCAATAACTAGAAAATCAAACGAACAATTAAAAATACCACGGTAAACAGCTATATAAATGGCAGCCATATCTGAGGTTACAACGGAAGTCAAAATAGAAGGACTGGGAGAATTCATAGATCTTATTGTGGAATTTTTTGATACTTTTTTTTTTGAAAGTTGTAATCAAATTATTTTAGACAGTAATTCCTCTCTTCTTGCATTGTGTAAACCGAGTCGTATTCAATGATATAATTGGATAAGTTATTTCATAACTATGAATCGAATATTGATAATGCTCTGTTTTTGTTTTTTACACTTGAAAATAGTGTTGTATAATTATTGTCACTGTTAACAAGTATGTTCTTTTTATCGCGCCGTGATTGTGACCGACTATAATACATTGTTAAAACAAATTATTATCACTGTTGGCTCAACGACACGTACCTGCTGTTTCCAGAGTATTACGCGTTGGGTGAGTTATGCACGTCAAGGAAGTATTCATAAAGTTACTCTAATATTAAAGTACAGATGTCGCGAAGAAATATAGAGATTTATGCCCGTAATATATAATGATCGTTATTAATTAGAAATTAGAATTTATATCATTAGAATATTATAAAACCTGAGAGTCGAGGGGTATATTGATAGGTTTTTTAAGTTCCTAAGAATAATGGAAAATATAATCGTGCTGTATGACGAATTTAAATTATTACTATAATATTATAATATAATAATTGTACAAACAGTATGTTATTCGATAATGGTTTGAAACATTATTTTATAATATGCACACAAAAAGTTTATCTGTACATTAACCGGTACGATTAAAAAAATCTACTCTCAACAAACGAAACGTTTATATGATGATACTATATTGAACACTTAAATTGTAGTATTTTCTCTTTCCTCAAATCATTTAAAAATCTTTTAAAAGCCGAATATGTTATCTGTATACGTATATATTATTTTATACACGGAAATGGTGAAAAAAATGATTGTGTAGTAAGTGTAATTTTTTTAAATAACATATATATGTTTTTTGGCTGGGTACAGATATTTTGATTTTTTTGATTCTAACCGAATTTGAGTATCGTTACGAGTATCACTACTTATTATACTACTTAAACTACTTATATTAGGTACCCATTGTTACTCGTACTTAATAGTTAATATAGTAATAACTTCATAATAAACATAATAAACAACGATTTATTATATTTTTAGTTTAACTTAAGATTTCAGATATTTTATCTAACCTATGATACCTATATTGCAAAATAATGGCGAAAATCCAAAAATATAAATATGATGCTTACATTTTTTTTTTAAGTGGAAAGTATCGAGTATTTTTTCTTACAAACGCGTACGCAGACCTCACCGAGATGCATATAGGTGATAGGTACACGTAACATATTGTATATATATATTATATATGTATATAAATATAGCTGCTATATTATAAATATTTTAATAATAATGAACGACCGTGATATTGTTGTAACGTTGTATTATAACATATAACATAGGTAATATATTATATGTCGACGAATGTAGTTTGTCAGAGCATTTGACGAGCACAAAAGAATAACGATCGCTCGCGCGTACATCAGAATATTATACCGTGATGGGTGATTGGGGTGCGGGGAAAATCTATAATCAAAATTTTTTCTTCTGTTTCTTTTTCTAAAAGAATAATGCGATTAATAAAACATTTGTCTGGACGGTGTAATTCAAGATCGATTTCACTTATTACACAGTGATGGGTAAATTTGATACTTTCTCAATATTTTGATTTTAACAGCCTACAAATATTACTTATGTGTTATATGTAGGTAACAGAATATTATATGGGTGTCAATTAAACGTCATATCTCATATTATTCTAACACAAAGTATTTTGAATTTCTATTATGTAAGTGACGTATATTAAACTATTCGATATCATATAATCTCGGGAAATGTAAAAAGGATAACGATAGATCATAAACACTCCGAGGTTTAACGTGGAATAATACGTAATATGAACGATAAGCGTGTTATATAGATATGGAGAACAGCTTCGAATATCAAAGTGCCATATCATGGCGAGTACAGTAGATTTATAAGTTTGCATCTTTCCGTTCAAATATCCGTGTAAAACGACATAATAAAAAGAAAATTAAAGAAAACCGACTATATAATGGGTATATTTAACCGAATCACGCGTACGTAAAACATCTCTGGGGTATAAACACCCAAAACATTTTTACCTACCGACCGTTTGGGGGCTTGCACACGACTGGCGGTTGGCGGACGATGGTACACCTACATCATAATCGAAATAGCGCCCGAAATCGCGTCGTAATACAATATTACATGGTATTATTATTATTATTATAATTATCATGATTGTAAACACGCTTCACGGCGGCCGTCCGTTCGCGCGAATTCGTCGTCGTCGTCGATCTCAACCTGTTGCTCTATCTCGCGCGCGCCCAGTCCATCACCCTTTTTTTTTTTTTTGTCCACGCGCACGCCAAGGTCGAGCTCGCGTCACACACGCATTCGTCGTCGTCATTTTTGTGTGTGCGCGTGCGTGCGCGTGTGTTACGCGAGCTCGCGCGCGCTTAACACCGACACAATAATAATAATAATAATAATAACAACAATAATAATAGAAATAATAATAATAATAATAATAATATAATTTCTCGGGAAATAATGTTATATTGTAGCGCGCACATCATCATTGTGCGTGTCGCTTTCGGCGGCGCGCGCGCGTTCACTTTTGGCCGCGCGTCCGCCGTGACGTTTAATTGCCATCGACCTTGCCCCGCACAGGCCATCATCGTCATCATCACAATATCGGCGCGTGCGTGCGCGTGTGCGAGTGTGCGGCGAACCTTGGGGCGTAATAATAATAATACGTTGCGCGCACAATAAACCTCTCTACCTACGCGCGGCCGAAAGGGAGAGTCGCTCGTCGTTCGGTTCATTCGTCCGCTCGTCCGCGCAAACGAGCGTGGACCATATACGCGCAACACTCGCGCGCGCCGTCCTGCAAACACGCGCGTCGGTCGGCCACCGGCTACGTGCGCGCCGCGCGTGAACAAAACAGCGTGACAGCGTTTTGGGACTGGCAGCGGTGACGTCGGCGCGGCTCGTCTCGACCTCTCGCCCCGTTACGACCAGACGGATACGATAATAATATTACTATAACGCCGATTAATATTTTTCGCTTTCGTTTCGAGACCACGCCGGAGCAGGTGCAGGTGAGCGCCGCACGCGACGGCAGGTGCATGTAGCCGAACCAGCAACAGACGCGTCGCGCGCGCAGGCGCTACCCAAGTGGCCGCGTTCAAGGGCCGAACCGGGACGACGGCCGCCGACGACAAGGAGACGGCAGACGCCGTGTCGGCCACCACCGTGGTCGGCGACGGTTGTTGTAACGTCGCTGTCGTCACCGCCACCGCCGCCTCCGCCACCGGGGACGACGACGGCGACGTGCAGTGCGGCATCGGGCCGTGTCGGTCCAAGTGGATGCAGGTGTTCGCGTCCAAGCAAGTGTTCTTGGCCACGTTCTGCTTCAGCTGGGTGTTGCAGGGCATGTTCTCCACGTATTTCGTGAGCGTGATCACCACGCTGGAGAAGCTGTTCCAGTTGCAGAGCAAGACCATGGGATTGGTGCTCAGCGCTACCGAAATCGGACAGATCGGCTCGTCGCTGTTGCTCACGTACTACGGTGGCCAGGGACACCGACCCCGGTGGATAGCGTCCAGCATGGTGCTGTTCGGCGTCGCCGCGTTCGCGTGCTCGTCGCCGCACTTCCTGTTCGGCAATCACCAGTACTCGCCGGCTGCGGCGTCCATGGGCGGCGGCTCCGGATTGGCCGGGTCGGCCGGCAACGCGACCACCGCGGCCGACTATTACCCGTCCAACGTGTGCGTGCCGCCGGACCTGGCCAACGGACACGCCAGCCCTCAGCCACTGGTGCAACACGAGATGTGCGAACAGAACGAACTGTCCGAACAGCTCGAACAGTCCAGGAACACGCAAATCGTACTGGTCATATTCTTCACCAGTCTGCTGGGCGTGGGCATCGGTCAAACGGCCGTCTACACGCTGGGCATACCTTTCATAGACGACAACGTGGCCAGTCGCGAGTCTCCGCTGTACTTCTCCATCACCATCGGCGTCCGCATACTCGGCCCGTCTTTTGGGTTCCTGTTGGGCGCGTTATGCACCAGCCTTTACGCGGACCTCAGCAACGAGCCCAACATGGACACCAACAACCCGCGGTGGGTGGGCGCCTGGTGGCTGGGCCTGGTCGGCATTTCGGCCACGCTGCTGTTGACTTCCATACCGATGTTCGCGTTCCCCAAACGGTTGCCGGAACCGTCGTCGGCCTGTAACGGCGCCTTGAAAAAGCAGCACCCGCCCCCTTACGACGGCATATCGGCCATACCCAAAACGCCCAAGCTCAAAGACTTCCCGACCGCCGTCAAGAGACTTCTGAAAAACGACATGCTCATGTACAGGACCGCAAGCAGCGTGTTCCACCTGTTGCCGCTGGCCGGCATCTACACGTTCCTACCGAAATACTTCGAGTCGCAGTTCCACTTTCCCACGCACACCGCCAACATGGTCACAGGTATAAAATATAAACGATTTAGGTAATACGTGAGATGATTTTCTATGATATTATGTACCTGTAGTTCCATGGACGTGTTTAGTACTGTGGACGGGTTAAAAAATTAATTACAATATTATTATAATCTTATTTCGAGAAAAATACAAGTGCCCACCTAATGTTAGTATCACACGTGTAGGACAATGTTTCAAATACCATTGGATATAAATATTCATACTCACGTATGACTTTGATCGAGTAATATGTAACTCGCAGTTAACAAGGCATCTGTAAGACACAAATTAAATCACGCTTTATCTAATCCTGCAGTACTTGAATAATTTTCATATGAAAAAATCGTCGAAACCGAAAGAAAAGTACCTACAAGTTTTGATTTTTTCTTTGTTTTCGGTTTTGATTAAAGAAATTTTTTTATAAAAATCATACTTTGTGCTAATATTTAATTAAATATTTATCTGATGTTGTTCCAATTTAAAAATGGTAAGAAATGGACGAAACGACGAAGTGGTAGATACAAAATTTTTGGTATACAATTTTGTTTTTTTTTTTCATAAAGAAACAAATTATATAAGTGCATATTTATTACAATTTTAATAATAATTTTATTAGACATTAACGTCATTAGACCTCATCAACTGAAACTATAAATCAACTATAAGGAAAAATCTTGACGACGAGTGAATGACTAATGACCAAGCAAATAACAACGTATATACTATAACTTTAATAATTGTTGATATTTTATTGTTTTCCAAAACTTCTGTAGGATATTCAAAGCAGAAAATTATAAGTTAATAAACACATTTACGATTTACAACCAAATTTAACGAACCAATTTATTATTATTACATTAATCAATAAAAATAATTAAATAATATTGGAATAAAAAGAGAAAACTTAACATTTTTCCATTAACATATGTCGTTACCCATTTTAGTTAAGGTTTAAAATAAAATCGAAAAAGGGTTCCGGTAAAGTTTTGTATCCAATATTTTCTTAAGATTCCGGTTGAAATACTTGTATTTTTAATTTCAATTGTAAGTCTTGGAATTTATAATTATTTTATTGTAGTAATTTCGGTGAACTGACACAAAATTATAAATAATTTTCTTAAAAAACTAAACGGTTCTTTTCACTATTTTTTTTTTTATCTTAGGAATATACGGCATTATGGTCATGGGTATTGGAATCATAATATCAGGAATATTCATATTGAAGAAAAATCCCAATGCTAGAGCAGTTGCCGCGTGGATCGCATTTACGGCTTTGGCGTATGCTATCGGTAAAACGAGTATAATTTGTTACATTGTCGAATACAGAAGTATTGACGGGAATTTTAATTTATAGGCATGTGCATTTTAATGTTTTTCGGATGTCCAACCACGAACATCACAGGAATGCAATACGACGAACTGTGAGTATTATGTAACATAGTTGCTTTAATATGTATAATTATTTGGAAAGTCTAAGTTTACAGTTTTCTTTTTGCTAATGTTTAAATGTATATTAATACAATTTACTGTAGTGTAATGAGTTGATATTGATTTTTTTATTAAAACGATTTCAACGCCTAATATTCTAAATGAAGCGAGAATGAAAAAATAAATCGAATATAGCTGATAGGTAATTGTTTATTTTTGCTATACGAACAACTAAAGAGAAATGTTAAGTTGTATGAAAGAAGAAATTAAAGTAATCATCATTAAGAGTATTAAGTCCGACGAGCTTTACATATTGAATCATTTTTAAAAATTATTCAAAAAAATAAACAAAACCATAATTAAAATAATTCACAACAGTTCTTGAACAGAGTGTCTTATTAAAGTAATGCTTAAAGACTTTTTTTGATCAACTTATTTTGTATGCGTGTTGAAGTGTCGCACAAAAATCATTTTGTACGGCAGCACAGTGCTTTATCGGAACGGCTTTCTAATTGTTCTTTTCACGGTTGTTTTGTGCAGGAATCAGCCCAAGTTTGTATCTCCTTGCTCAGACCATTGTGTGTGTGACGAGGAGATGTTCAGTCCGATATGCGGCGTGGATGGGATAACGTACTTCTCAGCGTGCCACGCCGGATGCCGGAATCAGACGTTCGGAAAACAGTACAGTGTTGGCTACAAGGTACCTATATGTATATTATATATATATATACACTCATAGAACAATAGGTCACATCAATGAAGTCGTCGACTTGTGTTTGTCATGATCGATACCGTGATTAATTATATTTTCATCATCTGCTCTCCGCATTATTTTTAACGTGTCAATTGACTGTATTATATTACGACTCCGAAGCTGGATATTAATGAGTTAAGAATTAAGGTTCAATAAAAGCGTTTACAAACGATTCACATACTTCGCACTGTTACATATTATTAATTTTTAGTTAAATCTATTAATGCAATTATATAGGTATCTAAATCAATAGTTAGAGGTACCTTGAAATATTTTTTTTTATACTTTCTTTGGTTTAATGAATAAATAAATTCAATTTGATTTCTGTTGTTATATGACAACTATATTTATTGCTATAATAACAAAAATAAAGTGTCACCTTTTAAATTTTAATTCAATTAATTTGAAATTCAGGCTTATATTCAACTTATCTCAATATTTAAATAGCTTAATGAGATACTATAACCGTTAATCTTTAACGATCAGATTGACCGCTATAATATAGTATATAGTTTAATATAGTATCATATTATAATATTCACTATCTAAGATATGTTGTGCTCTGGCCTCTGATCACTGAGCTAAGGCAAATTGTTATCTTTCACATTATTTTGTAGTTCACAGACTGCCAGTGCATGAACAATAACGTTACGGAGGCGTATCCGGGCTCATGCAAAGACGATTGCGAAGATTCGGGCTTTTGGTATATAGCTTTATTTTCCTTGTTCGTGTTCATTCATTCCACTTCCGAAGTGGGCAGTATGTTACTCATACTTCGGTGCGTACATCCTCAGGACAAGGCCATGGCTCTCGGGCTCATACAGTTTGCCATAGGCCTATTTGGTAAGCTCAATACTGCCGATGCACAATCAATTTACAAACATCATTTTTTAACGAGAAATATATACAGTAAACGCCGCTTATAAGACTCACTTTGGGACCAGCACAAAGTGAGTCTTATAACCGAATGAGTCTTATAGGCGAAGTGGAAAAAAAAAATAATTACGTATTTATAAATTTTATTTTACTACATATTTTGCTTTGATTTTAATACATTAACACATATTACATATTACATACTTTATTATTGAATACATTTTATAATCCCCATAAAAATACTAAAATTATAATAGGTAAATATTACATATTACGATAACTGTGCAGCCGCCAGATAATCAGTACACAATAATAACAATTATCGTTGCGATAAATGTGAACTTTTATCTGCGATAAAAATTATTATACGTTATAAGATACCAACAGAAACTAGAAATAATCAACACGAATATTATTTCATTTTTCAATACCAATTTATTTCTAAATTATAACAAAAAAAGTTTATTTTCTACTATTTATTTTACGAAATTTGAGTCTTATATCCGAAGTGTTGAGTCTTATAACCGATTTTTTTTTAATGTATTTGGATACGTCCAGACCGTTCCAGACGATTTTGAGTCTAATAAGCGACTGAACCTTATATCCGTGAGTCTTATAAGCGGCGTCTACTGTACTTAAATTAGCTTCTCTTAAAATTAAGACTCACGAATACATTTTGAATACATACTAAAATAGGACAAACTTTATAAATTATTTTTTGATTTATTTTTATAATAACATCTCGTAGCTTATAATTATTGCGTTGATGTTTAATGGAATTAAAATTAATAAATACAAAAATTGACGTTTTTTTCAATCATATAATATCGAGAAATTATATAAATTAATGAAGTTTGATTTGATCATATATTTGATCAAAGATTACGTGTAACTTAAAACAAATAACCTATCGTCGTGAATCATTTTAAAACAAGTTAAATAGTAATTTTTATTCTATGCACTCCAACACTTTTTATTAAATATAATAAAAGGGTTCAAATTAAAATATTATACATAATTAGGATATTATATACAACTAGGAAGTTCATAAAAATGAAAAACATAGTAAAATGAAACACAAAAAAGAGTAAATAAAAAAAAAAATCAATAATTTCAACAAAATCAAATTTATAGATTATTATTCTTAAAAAAAAAATTGTTTTAAACTTTTAACTTGTTTAATACAATTTAAATAATATATTAAATTAATTATTTCAGTCAGGACTAGTTATTTATAATTTATTATAATTGATCTCAATAAAATGGTTATATTATAATACATTAGGTACTTTTGGTTTAGCATTAATAATATGATAAAAATAATCATAGCAATATTAAAATTTTACTTAGAAGTTATAAAATAAAACAGTACCTAACCAACTAAGACGATAAGACGTCTTAAAATACAGATTTATATACATAAAATAGTCACAAAGACACTTAATATTATAAATATATTATATTGTATATGCACTTTACGCTCAAGAGCTAAGTCTGATTACTATATTATTAAAATAATCATTGATACTACTTAATTATATATATTAATTTTTATTTTTTTTAAATGTTTACATATGGTGACAATTATTATAATAATTATTGTTTTCATGTCACGTAGGTAACGTTCCCTGCCCCATATTGTACGGAGCAGTCGTCGACTCGGCATGTCTCATATGGGAAATGACGTGCGGAAAACAAGGAGCGTGCTCTCTGTACAACTCGGACTCGTTCCGTATCTTCTACCATGGTAATACTCGATGGCGATCAATCTCGGAAGATTAGATTGCCAAGCACAATGCACTTTAGTAGTTGTTACTGTTATTATGTATTTATGTAGCAACGTAATTAACAAAGATCGGCGCGTTAATCGAGAACGATGATTGAGTAGTAATTTATATTACTTATGCATAGTGTACTTATCAAAAAATTGTAATGAATAGAAATTATATTTTTATGGCTTAGATTTTACAAATATATCTAATAAAAAAAAAAGAAAGATACATTATAAATATCTAAACGAATTACTATATATGTATATTATGTATATACAAAAAAAAATATATATTAAAGATGATTTATTTTAAATATCATAAGATAATAAGTATTTTTAAAATAAATTTCAAATAAGAAATAAAAAATTTGTTTGATATATAATTAAGAATTCATTGACGTGGTATTCGGTTTATTATGTTTAATTGTTGTTTGATATTTTAAAATAAAAATTATCGTGTGTGTTATTTTGATAGATTCCTATTAAGTTTGAAAAATGCTTCAAAAACTCTAAAAATCATAAAACGAAATAAAGTACAAAATAAAAACTAAATTTAAATATTTGTAAGTTTGTTAGTACATTATGGTGCTATATTTTAACTCGCGCACACAAAAAAAAAAAAAAACAAAAATTATTATTAATTTCTAATAATTTGTTATTAAATACCGTAAGCGCCGATTGCTTATAAATCATAATATATAAAAATTTAAATTAAATTAAATATAATCAAACATGTATTTTAAATTAAATATTCATACTTTGTTTTTAACAGGTGTTACTGGGCTGTTAATGATGTGCGCCTTTTTCGTTGATATAATTGTTTGGTACAAAGCGGGGAGTATAAACTTCGAGGACGATCATCATATGTCGGTTAACGAGGAAGAACTGAGTCAACTGACACCTATTACTGACAAAACCGAAACGACTGTTTGACTATAGTGAGCATTTTTATGTGTTAACATCAATTTCACAGAGGGTTTTCATTTTTAACGTACTATATAATATTTGATATAAATATATACCTAAAATTTAAAACTAGGAATCAATAATAAAATTTCTATAAAAAAAGTAAAAAATATTTCAAATATTCTGACACATGCATCTATTAAAGTGGGCTTCTTGTTATTGAAATGAGGAAACTAAAATTAAAAATAATTTAATCCATTGAGAAATATTAGTCTTTTACATAATTATAGGTAGGTAACATAACAAACAATAAATTACATCAATATAAGTAGGCTAAATCTAATATAATAATGTTCCATATTATATAAAGTATAAAATATAAGCAAGAACAACCTATATATGAATCTTTTATTTATGATAATATACTTGAGAATTGAAATTATCATATAATTTAATACGAATTTCACTGTATGGTAATGATTTCATAAACATAATAAATGATATGTAACAGGTTATCTAACATCATTGTACTAAAATAACGGTAAATAGGTCGTACAGGTTGTCTGTTGATTTAAAGTTCAATAACTTCGGAAAATCTGCGTTTCGTTGAATATTAGATCAACATTATTTTAGTTGAACACATATCACGCATTTTAACAACTGTAATATTATATCATCATTTATCACTTCCTATATAAATAATAATAGTATATGAATACAGAAATTCGATGGAACATTTATTTTATAGTTTGGTTACATTTATAATGTATTTAAAAAAAAAAAAAATAATTTAATAGAATCCTTTTCCAACATTTAAACAATTACTGCAAGACAAGAACACACACATACACACACACATATATATATATAGTCAGAGTCCACTTAAACTAAAAAAAAATTCGATTCTTGTTTCCGTCAAAATGTATTTTTTTATTTTTAAAGTCTTTTAAACTAATATTTGTTTAAGAACTATGTTTGGTAGTTCAAATACGTAAAGATAATGTGTGTATACAATAATAAAAAAAAAAATACGTATCATGCATATTTTTTTTTTATAAATAATTATAGAATTTTTTTTCTTTATTTTTTTTTTTTTTTTAAGTGGATTATATCTTAGAGTATAGATTAGACTATATTAGAGTTGAAGTTAAAAAAATGTGCAATTAAATTATTGTTTTAACAAAGATGAAACATTTTTAAATCAAATTTATTTGAAATATATTTGTATTTTAGTATTCAGTATTTTACTTGGTACATTATGTGTCAAAATAAAAAAAAAAAAAAAATTAAGTTAAAGTTTTAAGTAATTTCAATCAGTTCTGCAACAATCGATTCCAATACATTACATACAACATAAAAATTAAAATTATTGATTTCATTTTTCATTTTGGAGGGGAGGAAGGTTGTCAGAATTTGATCTTTTTTAATTTTCACGGAATTTTCAGTGGAGGAAATAGTTAGTATTATTTTGGTGAAAACGGTTTTATCTCCCTTAAAAAGTCGGATACTTGCTAAAATATGCTATATAAACTAAAAATTAATTCCCAATTCGTAGATTAATTTTGTCAAGTTAATTTACTTGACTTAAAAATTATTTTTACAAATAATTAAGTGTTACTTTTATTTTTGAGTTTGATTTACAACTGCATATATGAGAAGCATCGAATTGAGGCGATAAGCGATATTATCAACTTCTATATAAATTTACAAATTTATTCAAACCTCTAAACACCTATAATAATATGATAATTAAATTAAATATATGATTAAATTATCAATCTCAACTTTAAATAAATAGGTAAACATAAAAAAAAAAAAAATAAGTTAGTATCTAATTGTATATTTAACCGTAAAAATATGTTACATAGATTGCAAGTCTAAGAAATGAGTAAAATGCGGCAAATTATAGTCTGTTAGCTTTATTATTGTATTGCATATCTATAAACTTATAGATAAATATAAAACTGATCAAGATAAATTGACTATAATTTAACGCGATATAAGTTCTTACACATTCACTCACATATATATATTACTCATAGCAGCTATTATAAGTAAGATAGCGTTTAAACAGTGCTTATAAAATAATTGGGTAAGCTACTTGAATTTGTGTTTTGATACATAGCATAATTAATTATAACAGTTATTAGAAACAAGATGAATAATCCAATGATTTATTTGTCCACATATTATTTAGTATAATAGCCTCATAGCCTAAAATAACTATACTATTTATAGGCCCAAATATTTTCATATCCATAATTTATGATCCACCTTTTGGAGTTTTTAATTTTAAAAAACAACTTAAAAAAATTATGTTATATTTATTTTTTATTTTACAGATAGCTGATAGATGGTACCAAGAACGTCAACATTAACACGATTTGTCATGTTCCTTATTCATAACCTCGAAGAGATCTGTTTAATTTTTATTGAATTTTATACGGATTTAATTTAATACTTTTTCATTTAAAACTTATGTACATATACTCGTACTATATAATTAATTTTTTCAATACTTTTACGAACGTCAAAACATGACAAATTTATATTATTATAATCGCCTTTCGGTGCTTTCAATTTATATAAAAAAGTAGCATCACTCTACAATTTACGTATGTAGGTAAAATAATTTGTTTCGTTCTTTACTGGTACAACAATAAATTGTAAGCAACGAAAAATTAACAACAGACATTTTTTTTTTTTATACGTTCTTTGTTAGATATATTTTTATAAACGATTTTTCATTGTGTATAATATGCATATTTTATTTTTAGTTGGAAATCTTTTATTTTAAGTGAAACTTTTTTTCATATTTCAAAGTCAATTACTTTTATTACAAACAATTTTTTTTTTGTAATTTTTATTGTATTAAGCTCACAGTATACATCACTTTATTATATAAAATTTGATAATTATATACAATGTAAAATCGACTTTTCTCACGTTTTTGAATTATAATATTATTACAATATGTTGTTTTTGTAATCTAAAATGAATGAAAAACCACAGAGACCCGACAAATTAAAATGATGAAAAGGCTGCATTCGTTTTCTTGTAAAACAATATTGATTTATTTTAATTTTATAAATTAAAATTGATTTTTATTTGTTAATTTATCATTTTTTTAATTAAATATTTTCTAGTTTTTTTTTTTTTTAGTTTTACACGTCGCGTAATATATATTATGTTATCTTTTTTATACAGATAAAAATTAATTAATTTAAATTTTATTAGCTTATTACGAAAAATATACTATTTTAGTTATAATTAAAATAGTTTTAATTATCTAAATAATTATTAGTGAATTATTTTTGTTGTTTGACTAAATATTAGAAGGTAAAATATCATAGGAAATTATTATTCAAACAGTAAATATTTTGTTTTAAATCAATTTTATGCGTGTGCTATGTTGTTTTTTTTTTATTGTTAATTTATGTTTATTATTATAATTTATAATGTTTATTTATTTGTATTTTTATTGAAAAATTATAGCAGTAATAATTGGTTTTAGAAAAGATTATTTATCCGACTTTGTGAATGTTCTATTTACCATTTTATATCATTTTTTAACATTTCAAAAAAATTTTCATATATTATATTCTTTTTGAACTATCTATATATTTTTAAAACTGTTTGTTCAGTTGATTAGATTAATTGACGCAACAATACATCAAAATCGACTGACTTATTTAGAAATAATGTTATTTTTAAATTTAATGTACAATAAATAATAACGTATTTTTATATTGCATTTAAAACATGATTTCGTTTAAAATAAAACATGTTTTTAATAATTTAAAATGCATTGTTATTATTAATTTGTTTAAAAACTATGATTTATATAAAAAAAACAAAATAAAATATAAAAATATTTGTAGTCGTGATCCACCAGTTAGGCATTTATTCCACTACATTAATATGAAATAATAAAAAAATGAAATACAATTTTTTTTTTTTATTAATGTTTCATATGATTAAAATAGTACTAAAAGTGTGATATTAGTCTGATCGTGTATAATATTATGTATGTATAATGTTTATGTTTTATTATATGAAAAGTACAGAGAGCTAGAGAAAATATATTCAAATATGCATTAAATGTGTACAGATAAAAAATCTGGATAAAAAAAAAAAAAGAAGAGAAAGTAGAAGACGAAAAAAAGAAGAAGAAAAACAGGTTCAATACTATAAATAAGTAGTGTTACAGATGTTATAAAGTTGATTAAAATAGTATATTATAATCAAGAGGTGCTATATATATATATATATATATATATATATATATATATATATATATGATAATATATTATTATAATGTATACAATATACATATATTTGGATTTAATATAGAAAGAAATACCATTTTATTAAATACCATATATTATACATAATTTATGTGTGATATTATAGTATTTTAATATGTACAACACCAAAATATTGATATAAATAAATATAAAATAATCAATTTAATATAACCAAGTTCGTGAATGAAATGGGTTATTAATTATATAAAAATTTACAATATAGTATTCTCTTTGAACGGCTAAGAGTAACAGTGGTTTACTGCTTAAATAATATCTAATGTGCTTTGGTAACCATTGCGTAGCAGCCTCTGACTAAACAATAATAAGAAAATGATTAATAGTTATCATTGCATCATTACAAAACAGCAGAGTCAAGAGAGCATTATTTTTTTTTCGAGTAACACAATTAAAGAAAAATGTAGCAGTGCTCTAATTAAATATAATATTTTCTGTAATATAAAATGGATAATTAAAATACGAAAATTATGGTATAGGAGATTTCTACCAAAAAGTTTATCATACTACGATTTATCAGATTTAAAATTGATTAAAGTTATACATTTTGAACCTGTACTGTTACAAAATTAATTAATTTATAAACATTGATCTATAATACAGATGCATTTATTATAGAAAATTTGATTATTCAAATTTGATCAAATTTTACTAAAAACGCGTGCAATTAAAATTTTTACTATTTTACCAGTACTTTGTCCTTATTTTCTGTAATTTTTTAAATGTCCTCTAAGGAAATAAATAAATCAATTATGTTTCAATATTTTATTATTTGTATTCACATTGTTATAGGTGGTCTCGAACATAATAACTGGTGGAATTTAGTAAACTAAGCAAAGCTAAAATAAAATAAAACTAAAAAATATAGACATAAACTAATTGTGAACGTTTATATGGTAGTTATCACTAAAAACTGAATTAATATTTATAGTTAGCTAGATAATATACTACCTATAAAACTATAGTTTTGCATTTTATAATTTACATACAATAAAAACTTTTTTTAAACTATGCGTTCATTAAAATCACCTGTGTTATATTATCTTTTAGTAAGATATAAATAATGTATTTTCATGATATACTTTTTAGTTAGTTTTTGAAAAATTAAGAATATAATAAAATTATTATTTCAGTTTTTTTTTTTTCAATATTTGATCGGTCATAATTATATTTTGATTGGGGATAAAGTAAAATATATTATTATTTATAAATAACTATTATTATATTTTTATATTATATTATGTATTTTATTGACTTACATATTTATCTTAATATTATCATATATTTCACACATGACAGACAACTATAATATTTCTAGAACATAATTATAAATCATTAATATTCACCATTTCAAGTATAAATAATAACTTCATAGGGTCTGATACAATTATTTTCAAATTTTAAATATTTTCACGTAGGTGTAATTATTTAACGCAGTGAGTTAACAATGTTTTTGATTTGTATATACATCATTTTTACTGCAGTAGAAGAAGTTAATGAAATCAAGGAAACTATAGGCTTTGTACTTGAAATGCATTATTACCAACATATAAAGGTAAATTGTATATAATTACCATTTTTAAACTCAGAAATGTCATTATAATGTGTTTGTTATTACTCGTTTTGAACTAAATCTCACCTAAAAGTATTCTGAATACTAATAGCCATAAATTTATGTATAAAGCTAACTATATTATTTTGTCTAAAGTACGTTGTATAATATTGTCATTAGTTATTCTTACCATATTATTTTATGACTAATGTAATGATGAAAAGGCTAAAAGTATATTATATTATAATAGTCACCTGTGAAATTGTTACATATTATTATACCAACATTATGAAAGATTTGACATAACAATAACTGAAAATCTTTCTTATACAATGAGTATATTATGTTATTATAATGTATATAATTTATGTTTAACTGCAATACCTATCTATAGTAGGTATATTAAAATATAAAAGTATACATTATTTAAAATGTTTGTTTTTGTATACTACTTTTACTTTTAAAACGATGGATTACATAGTTAATAAAACATAAAAATACAACACTCGATGTTAAACTCATTGAAGTAACACTTATAAAGAATTAGTGGTATCAGTAAGACAAGTACATTTTCTTATATAAATTAAAATCTATTTAGTTTCACAACTTTACCTTTTCTCTAAGATTTTTATAGCATTGAGTACTTACAAATGCATAGCACAGTAATTGAACAAGACATTTTAAAAGTTTTATATAATATTGTAAATGTATTAAAGTATCAAAAATAATACACATTTAATAAGTATTATCATAGGAAATTCATAAGTCATGTAACCGACATTATTAATACACAATTAATAATTTAAAACAATTATAATTCGTCATCAGATCACACTCAAACTCGATGTTATTATTAAATATTTCTACAATACTTTTGGATTAAATACAACGCAAGTAAATGATAGATGCCTACTATTTGTATCTTAATGTAAAAATATACGCTTAATATTTTTAAAAAAATAACCTTTTAGTTATTTTTGATTGTTTATAGATATTTAAGATATATTATTAGTTATATAAACATTTTACTACATTACAAGCATAGTTAGTTTATTATATGACTTATTTGAAAAAGCGGTGATAAATTATAGTATAATCCATGTCAATATGAATTGATTATTCGAATTACTTCACGGTTCACATACATTAAATATACCAGAAAAGGAAAACATTTCAAGGTTTTTCTATGAAACTATGGAAAATTGAGTTTATAAAATATGTTTGAAAAAAGTAATTTTTTTATGGCGGAAGCATTATAAAATAAACACACAAAACATTAGAGAATATTTTTTTTTCACTAAGATTATGGATTTTTTTTTAAATTCTATGACATAAATTTAACTTACACTAGACAAATTATTTTTCTCATATTTATTTCAAAATATAGATTCATATTGTATAAAAAATATATATTTTACTAATTTTAACATCGATATAAAACCTTTATCAAATGTTATGATTATTTTGAATATAAGAGCATACGTATACTGTGCCCAACATTTTGTCTATGTTAAAAAGGTGTAATGTAAATTGCACCTGTCAACTTAAGCTGTGTCAAGTTTGTAAAATATACATAACAATTGACTTATTAAAGTTTCTATAATTGTCAATTTTTTCAATTATATCACAGAAATTGTATTTTTGTTTAAAAATACCAACATGTTATAGGATAACTATTGCATTCTAAAATAAAACAAAAAAAAAAAAAAAAAACACGAAAAGTTACAAAATTATTAATTAATAATATATACTATAGTGGTCAAATTCCAATTGATAATTATGCTTTTAATTTTAATTTTAATTATTCATGTAATATGGTTGTAATGATTAAGTATATATTAAAGGTAATTTTGCAAAAATTTAGCTATTCATTTTTAAAACTTTACCTGGACGCAGTTTACAATTGCTGGAATTAAATTTACCTAGATATAAGATGATAAATGATTTTCTTTCATTTAATTATTATTCCACAATATGACTCGAAATATATATATATATATTAGTAACACCGTAGTCTATTATGGTATAAAAGCTACATTTTTACTATACACTTGAATAAATTCTATTTATATATGTTCGTATTATATCATATTTACTCATTTATAGGATACTTAAATGTCTAATCAACCTTATTTATCATTACTATTGTTATTATTATAATCTATCATGTTAAAATTTTCAAAATACCTGTTCTGTAAATATCTATAGAATATGTAGATAGCCTACATAGGCTAGGGATATCTTATTACTTTAATACAATAAAAAAGAAAAAATATATATACTTGAAAAGTGATTACTATTTAAACATTTTTTTTTTTTTTCATTAAAAATATAGAATAGTTTTAGTATTATAAGTATTGTAACATAATTGTTTTTCATTTGTCGAGTTACAACAATAATACTCATGTACTGACGATATGATTTATATAACGGGTATTACGATAAGTACACTTGTGTAGTTATATATTATATAATATTATGTAGTCTGCTTCATTATTACTTACTTTATCATAGAATTTCACGCACATATCGATTACTAAATTATAACAAAACAATAATTAGATAAAGATTTTTAGTATAAAATAAAATAAACGCGTAATAATCAAAACCAATAATAAATAAGTAAAAAAAAATTATGGTTACGTTTTACATTAAATTGCGCGTTCACTTGATTTTCGATTATTAACCATTTTATTATACACTTATGGATAGTAGTGTAATTAGTATGAAGATAAATTATAGTATTACTCGAATGGTTTTAAGATGTTGAACAAAATACTTCTTAAATTTAAATTCCTATATGTGTAGTTGTATACAAATGTTTAATCGTCCTAATATTATTTAACCGCGGAAATAATAATTCTTTAAGTAAGTTTTAAAATATTGTCATGAAAATTTCAAGTATGAAGTTAATGTATTGAACTATTTTTATCATACATTGAAAATAGCTAAAGTATACATTAAAAATATTGTTATATTCATTTAATGTAACTCTTCGCGTAATATTTGAATAATATTCATATTGGAACATATAACATATACGTTACAAATGTGTCATATAGACAACAATGTAAATACATCACGTTAATGCCAAACAGTTAAAATATAACTCTAAGAGTATAATCATTACAACACATAAAAAATAAGAAATTAGGACAACTTATTAGTTGTTTCTACCTACAGTGATAGTTAAAAGCAAAACTCTTAAATTGAAAGTTTTATATATTTGAAATACATAAACTAATAATTTATTTATTGTTAATTGTTATTTATATTTATGAGAAATTGAGGGTTTTATATAATGTAGATTAACATTATAATATTAAGTAACTGAAACCAGTATACAGTATAAAAAAGGTGTTGAATAACTTAAAAGTTTTTTAAGACTCAGCTTACATTTTTCTTTTTTTCTTAGGTATTACACAAACAAAAAAATAATAGTTATAATCTGGATTAACTGTAGTTCTTGCAAACATATTATAAAACAACTTAAATTATTTATTAAAAATATTTTGACATTGTTTCAATAATATGTAAATGCAAATCAAAAACTTTTTAACCGTATTGTAAATTCTTATCTATATAATACTATATATGTGCTAGAAAAAAAATAACAATTAAGATCTATACAAAAATCATCTACAATAGAAAAAAAACTAGTGGTTAAGTTTATTTTATATAACAGCAGAATTTTTTAAATTTTAGTTTCGTTAAATAATCATAGAAATCTTACTTTTTATGCATAATTGAAACTTAACATTAACTGTTGTTCGTGTCTTACATTAAACTCATAAATAAATATAATACATTAAATTATTTTATTTTATTATTACAAACATGTTCGGTGCATTAATTGTTGAACGTAACGTAAATCGAAAAGCGATACGTTATGAATAAAAATATATTATCCTGGTTAAAAAATTTTGCGTGGCTTATTTTAAATAATATTAAGACAGGTATAGGTATAGTATATTATTATATATCTGTGTTAGTATAGTTTCAGTTGTAAGTACGTCGGCGCACGCGTCACACCAGCAACGATCTGGCTGATTTGTTGGTTTGCATTGAAGTAGCCGCGGTCGTCGAGTTAGAGGGCAACATGATTTTTGATTTGTTTTTAGATCCAACTCGGTTGTGCACTTGTAGATTTGACTCGACGACAATCTCGTCGAAGCCTGTGTTCAAAACTGCGCCAGAAAACAAATTAAATTAATAAATAATGGTTGTGACATAAAATTCAATATCCAATAGGTTTTTATTGCTATAGATTCTTATCAGTTAGGTACTACAATTTTACAAACTATTTATCAAGTTTAGGAGTAGAAGATAATTGAAATATTTTGTTTAGTTTTCGAAATGCGTTTGTTTCGTATTTACCTTGTGAGGGCTTCTGAAGTCTGCTCATCCGATTGGATGGAGTCGTAGACCCGGTCACACTTTCCAGTGGTTTGACTCCATCCTTTGATTGTTTATTGTTGGAATCCTGTGGTCTACAAAGGCATCCGGTTACTAGGAGTAACAACATCATCAGCGCGCTAACTGAAAGCCGAGTGGACTGCATTTTTAACTGGCGAAATATTACGATATTATTTGATAATGTTTAAGAACGACTGGATGAGGCGAATACGAAATAATAACAATAATATTAATAATAATAATAGGAGAAATGGTTATATTCGATCGACGGAGGCGATGGTTCGTGTGCGGATGTTGATTCAACACTGCAGCCACCGCGCCACCGTCATCCGCTTGCCCGCCCACCCATAGTTGTAGTCACCGATATCGTCGTTACAGCAGCGGTCCACTCCAATCTCGCTGGTGGAAGCTATAATATATGTTATATTATACGACAGAGTATTTATCAATATATTACGTGTGCGTATGTGTGAAAATGATATTATACGCGCACACATTTATATAATATAATATTATATATATGCGTAATTTGCACTACATGCATGTCTATATATGACCGTATAACTATAAATAGTAATGCTGTTAAGACTCAGTGAAAGTATGTTATACAGAAATTTGTATTATATTATTATATCATTAAAAGTGTTCTGCGCAGATAAGATTTGCTGAGTATTTATGAGAAGTTCGATACCCAAAAGTTAAATTGTACGGAAACCGATTTTAGAGCACATAATATCTAAATAATATACTCGTATTATAATACTAAATTTTACAAACTGTATTATACTAACAGAAGTACAAGATTTAGTCATCAAAACGAGACTATATACGTGGTAACTTAGATGATGACTCGTGTATTTAAAATGTAGGTGTCCACTAAGATTTGTAGATGTGATAAGAAAACACTAGGTATTCTTAAATTATTACACCTCTGATTCTTGACAGGTTTTTACGTGAGATACTGTTGCTATCGAAGTTGTATCATCATAGCTGTGAAGTTAACACAAAAATATAAAATATTTAAAAAATTATTAATAATTTGGACGATTGTGATTTTTTTTTTGAATTATTATATAGTTAAAGTTATTACACTATAACCTGCCTAATTTTAATTTAATTTTTTTCTTGAAACTGCAATGTTTTTAAATTAGACGATTTTCAGTAAATTATATAAAATAGTTAACATTATTAAGCAGCCAAAAACCAAGTATAAATACACGACTGAAAGTTTATCACTATCATTTTAAATATATTATTGTAACTCTAGTAAATACCTACCGTCATCAATATTTGTGTACGCAATCCTGATTAAATTAAGTATACCATTTTACCATGAATCAAAAGATCTTTGTACCTTCTCTCCATTCGTAGCAAAAAAAAAAATTTATTTTAAATTTAAAAATGATTTAACATATGGTTATCATTTAAAAAAGTATAGTTATGTAGTAAATAGTATCAAATATATTAAAAATAATAAATTATTTATAAATAATTATTGTAATATATACCTATATTTAGATAGTTTAAATGTTGCTATTCGTATACATTTTTTGCACCTGAAGTGTTCTGTTTGCAGCTAAATTAACGTGGCACTGTATATATTATATTATTATTCTTGATTAGATATTTTGTACACTTATACAGCTTGTACATGATTGAATACTACGTGTATACCACCAGACATGTTTCGTAATAAAATATACTCGGGTGCATATTTTCAACCCGGGGTAAGAATGCTCAAAAAACCAGTTTCAATGAACGTCGTCTGGTCAACAATATAAAGTATAATATATTATAATATGCGGTTGTTGACTTCGTTTCCGTCGGCCTTTATACCTATAAAGGAAGAAAATATTGAGAAAATGTATACATAATGTTATGGGCATCTAGTTATGTATAATATCATATGATGGCTAATGATCAAAGAATAATATACTACCTATATTACTCATTAATAGTATTATAATCGACGTTGTGTTTTGAAAATAAAAGATACTAGATTTGTTAACCATTAATAATTTATATAGAATATTAGTTGTTACGCAGTAATTATTTAAAAAAAAGTTAAGATCATCTAGCCTAAAAATTTATCTATCTGGATATACGGTGGTGGCTTCACAAAAAATAATTTACATACATAATTGTGCGTAAGAATGAGATTCCAAAAAAATGTTAATTGTATAAAAGAGAAAGGGAAACATCGTTTTTGAGTGACAGAGTGAAAAATGTAAAAATCATCGTGAACAGACTACATTGATACCTAACTAATACCTATATATTATAACATAGTTTCACCAAATTACGTTTAGTTGAACCATAACCGAGGCTTACGAACGGATATTTAACTATATTTTCAATCGGTATTGTAATGATATAAGTTTTGGAGTTTTTGTTTCAAATACTTTTTTACATCTCAACAACTAACATAAATCATTATTTTAGATCCATTGGATTCAAGTATACAATTATATTTTTATACGACTTTACAATACCTACTTATTATTAATTTTAAACAGAAACAATGAACTTATATACATTAACGAACACTCATCACATATTTAATATTTATAAAACTATAGAGAATTAAATACTTAAATGTATTATTAATAATTTCATAGCGAAATTAATACAAACACATAATATTGGTTCATCGTGTTCAATTAAAAATCATGCTGTATACTGTAATAATTGCTTTTGTAAAAATACATTATTCATGATATGGGTCTTCGCACAAAACGTTGAAATATGTTGAACAACTTGTATTTCTTTTACGTGCCTTATAGTGATCAGATTGTTCAAATTAAAAATTCTACTACCGTTTCAGTTTATTTTCCTCTTTGTGGATTCTTTAAGTAATATATTTATAAGCCTATGGAGGCTAGCATACAGCAAATAATACACTATTGTTCAGCAAACACTTAATATAGTGAAATAAAAATTGCCATAAATATAAATAGACAATGTAAATTTTATAATATTGACAAAGAAAAAATGACTTGGGAACTCGGTTTGTTTTATAGTAAGTGTTGATTGTTCCATGTCATTGAAAAAGACACTTAAATGGATATGTTACATTTATTTAATTCAAACATTGTATACTTTGAATATTATATTAATATAATATATACATATATATAATTCGATTCTGAGAAAAGACAGCCTGACAGCATATATTTCTATTTTTTTTTTTGATTATTTAAATAATTGCTATTAGTATTTTTTTATGTTTTTAATGTAGTTGGTAAAATTATTTTTAGACAAAAATAAATTGCAGAAATTAAAAAGTAATAATTATAATATTTATTACTATATATAAAATAACATGTCCTGACCCACTGAATCATCATCGATTAGCAGTAACAATTGAAGATATAAGTACCCTATGTCATTTGATTAGTAGTTTGATTTTATGATGTAAAAAGAGACCCACTCAAAAATATGTTCCGTTTATATTTAATGGAGTTTAAGTAAGGGTAAAACTACGGACATTTAATTTTTCATAAATAACGTTATTTTGTATAGTTTTTATGAACTTATAAGTCAATACTAACGTATTTTAGAATGGTGTGAATAAATTTGAGTTCTAAATAGCTTTAAATAAATCGAAATGTTATAACAATTTTTATTTTTGTATATTATTAAATAATACTATGTATAGTCGCTAAATGTTTCAAGTCTCGATGAATAATGTATTTGATTTAAGACAAAACAACTGAAATTTATTATTTTTGTTTAAATATCGAATCACATTAAAATTTAAAATTTAAATTTCTACATAAAGAAATTATACAGAAGTATTTTTAAAATTTTACTGTTCACGTAAATATAATTTATAAAGAATCATATGTTAAATTCTTAAGCTAGAAAAACTGAATTTATTATTGTTTTTTAACTATCAAATAATTTACAAATCACCATAAAATTGACAACATTAGTTAACATTTTATTTGTAAATGCTTGCAAAAAAAAAAAAAAAAAAAATTATGAATATGTATTTTCAATATTCCTAAATTACTTATATAATAAATTATAAGAAATGTTGTATTCGTTTTTTAAGTAAAAAGCTTAAAATAAATATATTGAAAAAATAAAAATTTAATTTTACGCGAATTAAAAATACCTAAATAAATTTTAAATAGGTATCTAAGAATATCACAAAATGAGTTAATTTATTTTCAAATAATTTGATTTTTATATAGATACTCATATTATAGTATGCTCAATAATTAATGTTTTTATTAATATTTGGTTATAGCTGCATGTGTCCACAATAGTTTATTTTTTGAATAACAATAACAGAATAAAATTTTAGATTTTATCAAAATCTAGTTTCGCATATAAATACGATTTTTTCCCTTATTATTTAAAAAAAACTAATGGGCATTTTTATCTTTGACGCTCAAAAGTACCAACTAAAATCATCCTAAAAATTAAAGATTTAAGCATTTTTTTTTTTCACTCCAAATATCTGTGACAGACACAAAAAACACTCATACTTCATTATAAAATAAATACATTCATCGCTTCGCTCAGAATCTAAAATATATTGGCATAGAATATAACACATGATTTGAATAATTAAAAAAAATATATTGGTAATACTCAAGTTGGCTAGTGCGGATGTTTTTGTATTAGAATATTTTAAAGTGGTGATACATATTTTTGAATTTAAAAAGTAATTCTAGTTTTTTTTGTATCTAAATATATTACTTTGATTTTGTTATTAGTTATTTGATAACTTACTTTACTTGTTTTAAATAATTTATCTATTTTCATAAATAAAAATAAATATTGCTGGGGTATTTAAAAAAATAAAATTAATATTAGCTTAAAAAATGATTTTAAAATGATATATTGGAATGTTTTTTACCTAAATGTTTTATGATTATTTTTACTTAGTTGATCTATTGGGTAGCTTTTAAATTTTACTCTATACATTAAATAAAGTTTATTATAATATAAATTTTAGACACAATTTAAACGTTTTTGACATCATGAAATATTATATACATTTTTTTCTAATTTTATTTTTATGTCTAAGTCGTTTGGTTATAGGTATTTATAATTTAAAATCCATTCAAAAGTTTCTATAAAAACCATTGAGATAATCTGTCGTTTTTCTAATTAACTTCATCTGTTTTATTTTTTATTTTTTAAAAAACCATATAATTCGGAGCACAGCTGTGTCTAAGTGCGACTAAATGATTTTAAAATAATATCATAAACTATATAATTATATCATATAAATATGTATAATAATAAATTTTCTTTACAGTTTAAACCAAAAACATATATTTTAACACTTACATATTTGT